AACTCATGCACCGGGATCGAGCCGGCGACCGCGGTTCCCAATCAGTGTCGGAGGTAGCGCACACCACAAGCGGTGAGCTTCGTACTCCGGGGCGCATTGCGCGGGTGCAGCTGTGGTGCGGTGCAATGCACTGGCACACGCAGTGTGGCGCGGTGCGGTGCAACGCGGTGCAGTGCGGTGCGGCGCGGACACCGAAGCGGTGCAGGGTGTTGCTCGGGGGCGCATTGCGCGGGCCCAGGCGTGGAGCGGTGCAGTCCGGGACGACGCGGTGCGGTGCACGGTCCAGTCCAGAATGAAAAGAAAAGAACAATAAACGACGACGACGCGAAAAACGAAGCACGCGACGATGAAGGCAGCGCTCCCGAACGAAAAATAGAAGAAAGCGGGCGCCAGGCGACGAAGCCAGCGAGCCGCAACCTATAAAAGGATAAAACGACGCACCGGCGCCGGGATCGAACCAGCGACCGCGGCTCCCACTCGACATCGGAGCTAGCACGCACGACGAAGCGGCGCACGGCCTTGATCCGGTGGATCTGCGCGTTTAATCAGGGTGCGGTGCGGTACGGTGCGGTGCGGTACGGTGTGGTGCACGCTCCCGAACGAAAAAAATGGCAAAAATGCGCGGGCGCCGGGATCGAGCTGGCGACTGCGGCTCCCACACGGTGACAAAGTCAGCATGATGATATAGCAGGACGAAGCATAAGGAGGTGAGACATGGCGAGAGGGGTGCGCGGCCTCCATCCAAATAAAAAAAAACGGTACACGACCCAGCGAACGCGACCGACCGCGCAAACCGTCCCGCGGGTCAGGTTGTGTTGCGCATCACACTTCGGTGCGCGTTGTGTTTCTATTCCTTGCTATTCTTGCTATCGTTTCTACTCACTGCTATTCGTCGAATCTATTCATTGCTACTGCTTTGCAACGTGGACTGACCTTGTAGCGTGTAGGACGTGCAGACGAGGATGGCGATGAATAGCCATCGATGGTGATGAACAACCGTTGATGTGCCGAGATGTTGTCGTCTGGCGAAAATCGGTTAGCGAGCCGATGCATGTTAAGAGGCCAGCTTCGCGAAATACCGTGCAGCTTATGTCGGCGGCGCAACTAGTTTACAACCGCCAGCTTTAAAGCAACCGCTCAGCCGCGGTACGTATCTGAAAATAAGTAGACCGGATGCGTATATATGCGGTGCAATTATATTGTAGCGAGCCAACGTCCGTGAACAAAACAGCTTCACAAAATGCCGTACAGGCTACACGGACAACATTGGACAAGCACTGCACACTTCAGTGCGCGTCAAATTGCGTGGTTCGGTGTACATTAAATTGCGCGTTGAATTGCATGTTTAATTGCACGTCGAGTTGTGTGGTGGGTTGCGCGTTAAAATGCGCGAGTCGGCGCATGTCAAATTGCGCAGTGCGGTGCAGCCAATGTTTTGCGATTTGCGCGTTAAATCGCGATGCGGTGCGGTGTGGTGCAGTGCGGTGCGGTGCGCGGTCCCGAAAAAAAAAAAACAACAACTCATGCACCGGGATCGAGCCGGCGACTGCGGATCCCAATTAGTGTCGGAGCTAGCGCACACCACAAGCGGTGAGCGTCGATGCTCCGGGGCGCATTGCGCGGGTGCAGCTGTGGTGCGGTGCAATGCACTGGCACACGCAGTGTGGCGCGGTGCGGTGCAACGCGGTGCAGTGCGGTGCGGTGCGGACACCGAAGCGGTGCACGGCGTTGCTCAGGGGTGCATTGCGCGGGCCCAGGCGTGGAGCGGTGCAGTCCGGGACGACGCGGTGCGGTGCACGGTCCAGTCCAGAATGAAAAGAAAAGAACAATAAACGACGACGACGCGAAAAACGAACCACGCGACGACGAAGGCAGCGCTCCCGAACGAAAAATAGAAGAAAAAAACGTGCGGGCGCCGGGCGAGGAAGCCAGCGAGCCGCAACGTAAACGTAAAAAAAAGGACAGAACGACGCGCCGGCGCCGGGGTCGAACCGGCGACCGCGGCTCCCACTAGACATCGGAGCTAGCGTGCCCGACGAAGCGGCGCAGGGCCATGCTCCGGGGCGCCTTCCGCGGGGCCACGTGTGGTGCGGTGCGGCGCGGGGCGCCGAACCGAACGAAGGAAGAAGACGAAAAAAACGGCGACGGCGGGGCGCGAACCGGCGACCGCGGCTCCCACGCGGCGACGGAGCTAGCCTAAAAGGCGCGGCTCCGAAACCGCGGACGACACCCCGAAAAACGCGAAAACAGCAAGCGGCCACCCGGACTAGAGCGCGCTCTTCGCGCGAGTGGGCCGTAGCTCCTGTGCTGGCTGGTGACTAACTCCTGCATTGCGCGGACCAGTACAGGCTATGTGTCGTACTTGCTGCGGAGGTACGGCGCACTCGCGCGAACAGCGCGCTCTCACAAGAAGGAATTTAAGCTTGCGGAAGGAATTTAAGCTTGCGGAGTCTAGCACGGGAATTTAGCCTGTGAAGCGCTCGCGCGGGAGTCGAACCCGCGGGGGGCTGCACACATTGGTGGGCGGCTCCCCTTTCCTTCCCGTAGGGAGCGAGCGTGTCGTCCGGGGTGTCCCCTTACCCCGGACGCTGTCATTTAACGCCGTACAGTGGCGGGTCGCGGTTTCAACTCAACTCAACTCGACTCAACTCAACTAGCCCTGGGCCGAGGGGGTCCAACGCGCTTCCAGCTGTCGTGCATGCTGGAACTCGGCCGTATATTGTTGCTCGGTCTCGCGCGCTGCCTGCTTCAGCAGGCGCAGGTTGGCGGCCAGGTCTGGCTCGAGGTTAGTCGCGCTGAGGAACTGCTTGATTATCCTCTTGCGCTCGTGCGGTGTAGTGTAGAGCGGCCGGAGCAGACGGACGTGGTCCAGCGTCTTGAAGCGGGTCAGCAGCACATACAGGGTGGCGCGCTTGATGCCGTTGGGTGGGACAGCGAGATCCACCAGCCAGCACTCGTCTTTGAAGCTGCGCCCTTGCACGAAGTAATCGGTGACCGCCTGGCGGTCGCCGAGCGGCACGTTCAGGCGCCGGATCTGCTTTGTGATGGTGCCGTACCCGGCGGCAGGCATCTCCACCTCGGCAATGCAAGACGCCCGGGGTGACAGGATGAAGGCACCACCCCTGCTGGCGTAGTCTCCAAGGCCCTGCAGCACGGTGCCGGGGATGTGGCCGCTTAACCAGCTGGGCGCCGCCATCTCTCTCGTACTTCTTTAGCAGAAGAGTCAGCATCCTGGTGCTGCCCCTCCAGCTGTGTAGCTGCAGCAGCTGGCGTTTGCTGGCGGCCGTCCTCTGCAGGCCCTGCTGGATTTATTCGTACGGGTGGCTGTTGTGCTGCGGCATGTTGCTGCTGCTCAGTTGCACGAGTCGCACTCAAAGCAGCGAACGGACGTAGTCGTCCACCACTGAAGCCGTCTGCAAGCGAACCAAGCCGAAGCCGTTTTGAAACAGGCAACTGGTCCGACATGGAGGCGGACCCGACGAAGTGAACACGTATACTAATTCAGCCGTTAAGGAGATGGGGTCGTAAACGGCGAAGAACGCGAAAGAAGCGAAAAGAAGGAGCAAAAAGGTGGAAAGTATTTCGGCGTAGCGACAAGGGGAATTGCGAGAACTACAATCGAAGAACGGCGCTGTATGAAACGCGTACGGCATTCATTCCGACGCGGAATCGAAGCACGCGCTCGTAAACGGCGAAAAGAAGCGAAAAGAAGGAGCAAAAAGCTGGAAAGTAATTCGGCGTAGCGACAAGGGGAATTGCGAGAACCACAACCGAAGAACGGCGCTGTATGAAACGGAAGAACGGCGCTGTATGAAACGCGTACGGCATTCATTCCGACGCGGAATCGAAGCACGCGCTCGTAAACGGCGAAAAGAAGCGAAAAGAAGGAGCAAAAAGCTGGAAAGTATTTCGGCATAGCGACAAGGGGAATTGCGAGAACTACAACCGAAGAACGGCGCTGTATGAAACGCGTACGGCATTCATTCCGAAGAATTGAAGCACGCGCTCGTAAACGGCGAAAAGAAGCGAAAAGAAGGAGCAAAAAGCTGAAAAGTATTTCGGCGTAGCGACAAGGGGAATTGCGAGAATCGAAGAACGGCGCTGTATGAAACGCGTACGGCATTCATTCCGACGCGGAATCGAAGCATGCGTCGAAGCGCGCATCGAATTATGAAGCATATGTGCAGATGTGCAGATGCGCAGATGTGCAGACGTGCAGATGTAGCATATGAAGCATATGTGCATACGTGCATATGTGCATATGAAGCATATGAAGCATATGAAGCATATGAAGCATATGAAGCATATGAAGCATATGAAGCATATGAAGCATATGAAGCATATGAAGAAAAAAAAAGGAAAAAAAGCGCGCAAAAAAAAAAAGACGCGCGCGCGCTGGGGATTGAACCGGCGACTGGGTGGACAGAGGGACGGACAGCGAATCGGCCTAAGGCAATCGAAGCATGCGTCGAAGCGCGCATCGAATTATGAAGCATATGTGCAGATGTGCAGATGCGCAGATGTGCAGACGTGCAGATGTAGCATATGAAGCATATGTGCATACGTGCATATGTGCATATGAAGCATATGAAGCATATGAAGCATATGAAGCATACGAAGAAAAAAAAAGGAAAAAAAGCGCGCAAAAAAAAAAAGACGCGCGCGCGCTGGGGATTGAACCGGCGACTGGGTGGACAGAGGGACGGACAGCGAATCGGCCTAAGGCCTCCGCTAGACTACTTCGAAGGAGCGAAAAGAAGGAGCAAAAAGCTGAAAAGTATTTCGGCGTAGCGACAAGGGGAATTGCGAGAATCGAAGAACGGCGCTGTATGAAACGCGTACGGCATTCATTCCGACGCGGAATCGAAGCATGCGTCGAAGCGCGCATCGAATTATGAAGCATATGTGCAGATGTGCAGATGCGCAGATGTGCAGACGTGCAGATGTAGCATATGAAGCATATGTGCATACGTGCATATGTGCATATGAAGCATATGAAGCATATGAAGCATATGAAGCATATGAAGCATATGAAGCATATGAAGCATATGAAGCATATGAAGCATATGAAGCATATGAAGCATACGAAGAAAAAAAAAGGAAAAAAAGCGCGCAAAAAAAAAAAGACGCGCGCGCGCTGGGGATTGAACCGGCGACTGGGTGGACAGAGGGACGGACAGCGAATCGGCCTAAGGCAATCGAAGCATGCGTCGAAGCGCGCATCGAATTATGAAGCATATGTGCAGATGTGCAGATGCGCAGATGTGCAGACGTGCAGATGTAGCATATGAAGCATATGTGCATACGTGCATATGTGCATATGAAGCATATGAAGCATATGAAGCATATGAAGCATATGAAGCATATGAAGCATATGAAGCATATGAAGCATATGAAGCATATGAAGCATATGAAGCATATGAAGCATATGAAGCATATGAAGCATATGAAGCATATGAAGCATATGAAGCATATGAAGCATATGAAGCATATGAAGCATATGAAGCATATGAAGCATATGAAGCATATGAAGCATATGAAGCATATGAAGCATATGAAGCATATGAAGCATATGAAGCATATGAAGCATATGAAGCATATGAAGCATATGAAGCATATGAAGCATATGAAGCATATGAAGCATATGAAGCATATGAAGCATATGAAGCATATGAAGCATATGAAGCATATGAAGCATATGAAGCATATGAAGCATATGAAGCATATGAAGCATATGAAGCATATGAACCGGCGACTGGGTGGACAGAGGGACGGACAGCGAATCGGCCTAAGGCCTCCGCTAGACTACTTCGTAGTCGCTACGGCTACGGACGGACGGACACGCGGACGCCCCCCGCAGCCTAAGGTCTCCGTCCCGACGACGGAACGACTAAACGTCGTCCGTCTAACGTCGGGACTACGACGAGAACGACTAAACGTCGTCCGTCTAACGTCGGGACTACGACGACAGACAGAAAGTTGGGGTAAGGTCTCCGTCCCGATGACGGAACGACTAAACGTCGTCCGTCTAACGTCGGGACTACGACTATATTCTACAATTTTCTTGTAAATCGCCCTTACTGCAGACGTGTCCTTTCAAGGACGCTAAATCTGTTTCTTTGTGCTTTTGTTGCGGTCTATTGATTGGTGTTTGTCTTGTTCCGCGGTTCGCGCGCATTAGTCTAACGTCGGGACTACGACGAGAACGACTAAACGTCGTCCGTCTAACGTCGGGACTACGACGACAGACAGAAAGTTGGGGTAAGGTCTCCGTCCCGACGACGGAACGACTAAACGTCGTCCGTCTAACGTCGGGACTACGACTATATTCTACAATTTTCTTGTAAATCGCCCTTACTGCAGACGTGTCCTTTCAAGGACGCTAAATCTGTTTCTTTGTGCTTTTGTTGCGGTCTATTGATTGGTGTTTGTCTTGTTCCGCGGTTCGCGCGCATTAGACACATGTCTGTTTCTGCTTCTTCGCGGCCGTATTTCTACTTGGCGCCTGCTCCATAAATAAAATTTTAAAAACGTCCTGATAGCTCTCGCTGTGACGGTCTCATTTCAATTGTCTGTTTGTCGTCGGCGAGCGGTGAGAAGTAGGGGCGGCGCACTTTATTACTAATGATGACGTATAGTACGACAAAGCACACAGCAGCACGGCTGCTGTGCTTCTTTTGCGGTTTCCGTCGTCGTTGTTGTTGTTGTTGTACCGATTATTTTGTTGTTGTTACATTCATTATTGTTGACCCTAAGTATTCAAGTAATATATAATGCATGTTTGCCGCAGAACATGATGATGAATGATGATGATGCTATGTGCCCGCTTCCGCTCCCGTACTTATACTTATTACTTTTCTTATAACTACTAATTGTAAAAACTTTGAGCGACTCTTCCCGGCAAAATTTTAATAACGATGACGACGACGACGACGACGACGAGGATTGACGACCAGACACCACCACCAGCGAGCGCGATCGCATCGCATATTATTATTCTTATTCTTATTCTTATTCTGATCATCACAGAGCACAGCAGAGGCGGCACAGCAAAGTTTTAGTGGTGGTGGATCATCGGCGGGTTGGCACGCTTGTGCACGCGGCGAGATTGTTGTTGGTATATATACCGTTAGGGTTATTATTATTATTATTTTACATATGTGCCAAATCGTGCCAAATAGATACAGCAGCATTGTTTGATTGTGTTGGTGTAGATATGCATATAGAGAGAGATCGTGTGTCCGAGAAGGGAAAAGGGAGCATACACAACAACAACAACAACAACAACAACAACAACAACAACAACAACAACAACAACAACATGTACAACTACGTGGGTGCATCATCGCCACACCGTCGTGCATGCGCGTGTCCCATAATATCCACATACCCGCGGAGCCATCATATGCTGCATATGTGTACTACTAATAATAAAGTAGTATCACATACAGTACGACATGCACAA